ATCCTGTTTAGCGTGTTATCCCTTCTCCCTTGCGGGTCGAGCAGTATATTTTCTGAACTTTTGGATTTTTTCATCTAGATCTCTCTGTTAAACAGGTATATATTTAAAATATTTAAATGACCAAGCTGGCCACATGTCATACTTTCAAAAAAGTGCATATAATTTTTTCCGTTAAATGCCATCACTTTTGGTCTTTGTATTTGAAATGTTTTAAAATAATATCCTTTGTGATTCGTTATGAAATTAATAAACAGAATTTGTAAAAAATTATCTTATGCTTTTCGCATCGAACATTATTGTAATGAAAGTTCATAAATATCAAACGCAATCACGTTCGGTTCTTAGGAAATGTGCCGCACATTTTCCAGCATGTTATCTTCCAGATGCAAAAAGACGAACAACAGTGGAGATACTGTTGGGTAGCTATAAATAAGCGGACGGTCGCCCGAAGGCCGACCGCCTGACCGGACGGACTGTCGCCTGAATGACGGACAGTCGGCCGGACGGATGTCGGTCTGACGGACGCAGTGGCCCGACGACGGACAGTCGGCCCGACGCAGCCGGATAGTCGCCTGCACGGTACAAAGGCCTGTCGGACAACGGATAAGGACGGACGGAAAGACTGACTGACAAACTAGTCACAATAATCAAAATAGTTATATAACTTCAGGGATAGTCAGATCGGGTCTTTGTTGGACGGATCCGCCAGTGATCGAACTTGCTGGGTCGATCGCGTATTTGACGCCTTGCTAGGTTCGACTTACTGGGTCACTTACTTGGGACTGGGACTTATTTGATAGACATAGCCGGGTTCGAACCCAATCACTTGATCACTTTCTGGTCGATTCTCCGCATCACGATCGACTTGATCAACTCTGGTCGAATCACCCACTTGATTACTTGAGTCGATCACCCATACCCAGCAAGTCGTTCAAGTGAGCGATCGACCCAGCAAGTCGATCAAGTGAGGAATCGACCCAGCAAGCCGATCAAGTGATGGATCGACCCAGCAAGTCGAGAAGTGGAGGATGACCCAGCAAGTCGATGAAGTGAGGGATCGACCCAGCACGTCGATCAAGTGAACGATGGACCTAGCAAGTCGATCAGTTGAAGGATCGATCCTGCAAGTCGATCAAGTGAAGGATCGACCCTGCAAGTCGATCAAGTGAAGGATCGACCCTGCAAGTCGAGTGAGGGATCGACCCAGCACGTCGATCAAGTGAGGGTTCCACACAGTAGGTCGATCGCGTAAGTCCCAGTTCCAAGTAAGTCGACCTAGCAAGTCGATCACAAAGGGGATCGACCCAGCAAATCGATCAAGTAGGGGATCGACCCAACAAGTCGATCAACTGGCGGATCCGTCCAACATTTCGATCTGACTATTCTGAGTATTATAGCTATTTTGATTATTGTGACTAGTTTGTCAGTCAGTCTTTCCGTCCGTCCGTTAATCCGTTCGTCCAACAGACCTTTAGTCCGTCAGGCCGACTGTCCGTCCGTCAGATTATTTATAGCTACCCAACAGTTCTCACTGTTGTTCGTCTTTTTGCATCTGAAGATAACATGCTGGAAAAATGTGCGGCCTAAATGTACATTCCTAAACGACCGAAACGTGATTGCGTGATATTTATGAACTTTCATACTAAAATAATTTTGATGCTAAAAGATAAGACAATTTACAAAGTCTGTTTATTAATTTCATCACAATCACAAAGGATATTATTTAAACATTTCAAATACAAAGACCAAAGTGATGGCATTTACGGAAAAACATTATATGCACTTCTTGAAACGTATGACATGTGGCCAGTTGGTCATTTTAAATATTTTTAAAATAATATAACGAGTTTAACAGAGTTAGATCTAGATGAAAAAAATCCAAAAGTTCCAGAAAATATACTGCTTGCTTGACTGCAAGGGAGAAGGGATAATCACGCTGAAACCAGGATTTCTGCGACATCGGTATATTGTAGAGTTCCATGGTTTATCTTCCTACAATCTTGATATTTCTCTTTGTACGACTTGATCTCGTAAAGTAAAGGATAAAATTACGTTACATATTTCGTTAATAATTATTACAGTTTTCATTTTCGATCTATTACAGCCAAATAACACACACACACACTCTCTCTCTCTCTCTCTCTCTCTCTCTCTCTCACACACACACAAACACACATTGTGATTTTCTTAGAGAAACAAAATATTCCTATATTTTTAGTTCAATTATAATTGAATAGTGATGAATAGAATGATACGGTCTGTACACAGAACAAACGGTTGGGAAGCTCGGGCCAAGTGCAGGTGTTGCGGTTCAAGTGCCCGAGTGCGGGCGTTAGTCTGGGCGCAGCTCGCGGAATTCGTTGTACACGGCCAAAACAAATTAACGAATGTGTTTGCCGACCGGCCATTCTTCAGCGCGGGAGGCACAGTCACGTGAACTAGCGGTATATAAGTTAGCGACGAAAATCGCTTGGCGGGATTCCATAACGAATGAAATCTTCGTGCTGATGCTCATTTGTCCACCCACGCGGTTGTGCTCGCAAGCCTCGACTATGCGAGTTGTCTCTCTCGCCATAGAACTACAGGCCAGAAGCGCGACGCGAAATAGGATGAAAATAAATTTTTCAAGCAATCAATGGCAAAATACTATCTTTCTGACTTCAGGGAGTGAAGGGACGAATGACTGCGATACATGGGACTGACACGCATTCTAAAGCAAGCGTTTATGTGTAGAACGCGAGGTAGAATACACAGAGGCAGATCGTTATAGAAATGAAATTGGTAGAAGTCAGAAAAGGTCATGAACCCATCCTTGGAGTAGAGGAGAAGAAGATGATCATAAGGGTGTCAACTTTGTTATTTGTTAATACGAGCATAACTGCATCATCGCAGGCCAGTACCCATAAAGCTAAAAAAGGATACTGATAGTTTTTAATTGCTGAATTATTTTCAGAGCTAAAAATTAATCTTAGACGTAGCACCGCTTTAACCGCCGGGCCTGGCCGTGCCACCGCGCTGACAGAGGGCCCACAACGGGCGGGTGGGCGACGCAACGGCGCAGAAGAGGAAGTGGGGGGGGGAGGTGTTTTCGTAAATTTCACTTTACGACACTCCTTTGCGTCCGATTTGCACGATTGTCACGGCGTTGGATTCAGGAAGCATGTCGCCATCGCGGTATAAGCCCACATTTTTAAATTTGTTCTCGGAAGTTTGAGAACTAATTTCAAATTCGGGTTTTTGTTAGATTTTTGGAAAAAGGTCATATTCGCGTAAATTCTATTTTAAGAAGGCGTCAAATGCCGTTAACAGATCGAAAATCGAGCCATTGGTTCAGACGTTATCGGTAAAGTAAATTTTACTTATTTTGGTGCTGCCACGTGGTGGCTACAAATTGTACTAGTGTCGGGACATTTAGCCTTAACTATCGTCTTACAAAGGATAAGAAAGTTTAAAAATGATCATTCGTATTTACATTCTAAAGTCAAAATATCATTAGCTGCTACAACAGTGTATACCAATGAAGAATAATCACTAAAATAAATGCACGAAACTGTTGCAATCATTTTCAAAGTATATTTAAAGTTAAGGTGATTTAAAGATGGGTAGTGTTAATTTTTTTAATTGCAGCCCAGCAGCCAATAAAATCTGGAAAAAATTCTCGATATGTTTTAAGAGAAACTTTTATGATTTTTTCGAGCCTGTTCCACAGTTCTGAATAGTTTAAAATATTTTTTTTTAAATATTTTGTTTGACTTTGGGCCTGAGCCATACTATCAAAAGCTTTTATGATAGTATAAATTGTTTCTTCATTTATCATATTTTTTCAGTTCGATAAAATTTGAAGTTGACGAAAAAATTAACATTAAAACATGATTTTGGCTGTAGAGAGATGTGGGTGGTGAGACAGACGAAAACCTTTCAAAATATTACTTTTGTATTAGAATTACAGTACAACTACTGATTGTAATTTTGTATAGGGATGTCACTGAAACTCAATAGCAGGGAATACATTGAAACATTTTATTGTAAATTCCCAACACTCATAATTCGGCCTCCCTCCAGCCCCATCCACCCTTAAATTCACTCCCGTACGATATTTTACATTTAGTCATTCATTTGTTTGGCTGGTCTCCCACAGTTCCACTTCTAAATGAACCCCAATCACACCACCTACCCATCCTATACCTCGGAGCATATCCATACTCCCACTGTAATAAAATAATGAACACAAACTGGTGCGAATATAAAAGCCGAGTGGCCCATAAACTTCAACTGAGTAGTCAACAATTAAAAACTCCAGCTGACAATGACATCGCTCCCAATAAATTCACCTACCAACAAAAGAAGCATACAAAATAAATTTAACCAACAACCTCGCTAAAATCCAACACCAACCACCCCCCACAGAAATAATGAAAAAAATTCAGGAAAGACGAAAAGCACAGAGACAAGACTACAGAACAAGAGACGAAACCGACAAAGCAGCTTTCCACAAAATACAATGAGAAATCACAAGACTACTACAGCAATTCAGGACCGACGAATGGGAAAAATTCCTCAGGCAAGCTGACAAAGACAGGAACAACATATAGAAAGTACAGAAACAATACGATCACCAACTATACCAAAACTAAACAACCCACACAGCGGGCCACCCACCTACGACCCTCAGTGAAAAACCACCATTTTAACAGACACTATGGAAACTCTTCACTCCTGTCAACAGTTCAACTTACGTGATCAACCCCTCAGGAAACTACATGCCAACCACCAACACCGCTCCGCAACACTATTTTCCCCACAGATGAGCTGGTCATCACTGGACACAATACACTGCACTATAACCTTCAAAACGTGGCGTATCAACCGTGCAATGCAGTCAGGCTCCAGAATTTTTTATGTCCACAGAGCGCCAACATGCAAAATGACTATATTGTATGGTGTTCACAACATTTTGTCCAACCCCTGTATCTACATTTTAAGCAATAAATTAAAATGCATTTCACAAAGAATAAAAAAATTTATTTGCTCAACACACTACATTTTAAGGTTTGATAAGTAATCTTGTCATTTGTTTCACATGCAAGTACAACAGATTTATTCATGGTATCACCAAGTCGACAGAGAACAGCAACATCACTGGGACGAATTGCAGCATTTCTCTCAATGCAGATAACCAGAAAATGTGCAGAATACACAAATGGATCACCTGAAATCACAAGTTAATGGAATAATTCCTTTTTAGATAATTCACTCATCTTGGCAACAAGAATAAACCTTTCAAAAAATACAATGAAGTAATTTCAATTTCTTCGATAACAAATCTTTTTCACTGACCAGAGATCAACAATGGTCTCTGCTTGGCAATATTTGATCAGTATGATCTAAAGTAATCTAAATTTTAATCATCAAATTTTCCACAAGTATAACATCAGAAAAGACACCTTTTATATCAACCCCTATTTCAACAGTGAGCAAAATAATTATTTCCACCATTTACAAAGTTTAAGCTTTCATTTAACACAAAAGCTTTCATAAAAAATAAAGATTGTCAAAAGTACAATTAATTACTACACTCAGTCCCCCCCTCAAAAAGCAATTTAATGTCATATTGAAAAAGAAACATCTAACTGCCTGAACACTTTTCCCCAGTATGGTTTTCAGAAATTAAAAATTCAAAGATTATGTTCACCTGGGTAAACAATGAAGTGAGCACCAAACTTATGGCCAGAGGAAATGTAATAGCCCTTCTCCCAAAAATCTTTGAAAACATTAAAAGTAAGATTTTCTGCTGAAGTCGAAGGGTATCTCCATTTCACAGAACATGCATCTTCCTTTCTTAACCACGGATAAGCTGTAAAATATAATAAAATTAAACATCTGAAAAAGGTTTAAGTAAATAGTAAAACAGAAGATGCACCACATATCTCACACAGATAAAACAAGTAGTTTGTTTGCTGAGAAGTAACTGATAGTTAATTTTTACTTACCCATATATACATGCATATACAGAGTAATATACATGGTATATGGAAAGTTATGTAGTGCTGCGGAAAATCAATTTCGAGATTTCAACAGAAATACGTGTTCTGGGATCCCCTGATACCAAAAAAAGGTACTTTGGGACATTTTCAAATTTTTTTCAAAAATGGCTCCAAATTTTTTCTTTAAAATTCTTGTAAGAAAAGAATGAAATATACACTTATAAAGATGGCTTCCGTCATATTTCATTGATAACTCGAGATTTTCATTAATTGCAAAAGTTTGAATTTTTTCGGCGACTTCCTACAGCTACAAAATTGAGAACACAGGTTTTTCCTTAAATACATTTTTTTCTCCTTCATGAGTTCTTTCGTTCAAGTCATACAAATTTTGTTGACAAATTTAGTTGTTTTCATATAATATTGCCTTCAATAAGTGCAATATTAAAAAATAACAGAAACTACATTCTCGAAAACTGCACCAATTTTTTCTTTAAACTGTTGGTAGGGATAATGTTAAATTCTCTCTATAAAATAACATTAACACCTTATTACTCTTATTCTTTTTTAATTTACAAAAATTACAATTTTTTTTTCACTTGTCCCTCACATCTTTAATATCTACATTAGCAACACTTTGTTCACATTAATGTATTTATGAGTACATTTGCTTTAAATATTGTCTTATAAAACTTAAAAAATTCAACAGCTTTCTGTTAAAATGAGTTTAAAATTTCGCATTCTAAGAAATGCTTAAATGCCATTTTCTCAAAAATAGCTACAAACTTTTTCCTCAAACTTTTCCAATGAGTAGTGCTAATTGCACTGTTAAAAATGACAAAGTTCATTTGGGGGAATATTTTTGTTTTTTAAAACATTACACATGTATTTTTTTTTTAATTACACAAATGTAGATTTTTTAAATATCTCTCATGCCATTAATAAGCACATTTCCAGCAATTCGTAAACACTATTGTATTTGTTAGTTAATGTGCTTCAAATGAAGTTTTTCAAAAACTCAGTAATTTTCTGATAACAGCTTCAAATTTGAAATTTAAAGTTGTGCTTAAACACCAGTTATTTAAAAACTGATCGAAAATTTTCAAAAAACATTGCCATTTAGGACTAGGTTTTACTGTTTTTTAATATTCTTAAAATATTTCTGTTCTACTATTAGGAAATTGAAAAATTAAGAAAATTTTAAAAAATGTACTTTGGGCAGCCATAGAGGCCAGCGAGAGTATGTGGTAAGTCCGAATAGCTAGAAGAGACCAAATGGAAAAAGGAAACTAATATGGGAAAGTCTGTGCCATTCTGTAGCACCACTAGTTTACCTTCTTTATTTGAATTTTGCCATCTACATTCTCACGCTCAATTACAAATAGGTCTTATTGAATGTTTTAAAAATAAGTCACATGCACCCTCATATTTTCTTCTGCATGACACTGAAAGAAATTATTTTAGCCCCTTACCTTATTGCAAGCAAACATATACAATTATTTGGATGGTAAATTCTGAGTCCGCTGGTGTTATGCAGAACTCTACCCGCAGTGCGCGAGAAGTTCGTGTCTGGTTTGAGTGTGCCTCAAATACATTACAGTTCTGGGAGTTCTTTAAAGCGAAATTTGCTACATGATCTGTTGAACTGAATCAGTGTGATAGAATGCAAAGCATTTCACAATGAAAGTGTACAAATCAACCTGTTAACATAAGTTACGTCTCTAGAAGATTTACACCCAGAATTCAAAAGAAAAAAAATTACAAAACTTGTGTATTCTTTATATTTTGATTGTCATTTTTGTGATCAGGACAAAGCGTGGGCTGCTCACCAGTGTTGTGTCACAATGAACCTTAGGTTGTGGTTGTATGGAAAACTCAAATCATTGTCATTCACTCTACCAATGTTGTGTAGAATACCAACAAACTATGTTAATGACTGCATATTATTGCATGAATATGCTTAATTCATTTTTAACTTGTTCTTATCTCTTATGAAGCCTGCTCATAAAATTTTGTAGTAATATAATCAGAGTGTCAATGTGGAAAATTAGTATAAGATTATGTTTATTTCTAATACTGAATACATGTTCATATTTTTTTAATTTTGTATGATAGAAACTTTTTATAATGGTTTTTGGAATCAGTGTGATCATTTCCTTTGAAATTACCTATTTTTATCCTCGAGGTACGACATCTACCACTGGGGGGATTAAAGAAAAAATTGAGCCTTTTGAGAAAATGTTCAAAATAATTTAAGTCTTCACGTAAAGTACACCCCCCAAAAACCCAAATACCTGTTTCCAACTCGCATGGCCTGGTCTATCGGGGTTTATCAGGGTTATTTTGGAGAAAATTGGCTTAACAGACTAGGTGTTGGAGGGCAAGTAAACAAAAGTTTTGTCGTTTTCGATTTTTGGAGGGTAAGGACCCACAAAATGAGGATTCTGACTACACAATATGTTAAAGGAATTAATTTACTATCTAATCAATAAATAGACTGACGTTGCACCTTTTGGGAGTGTATTAAGCAGTTTTTTCTCTGAAATTATAGTGCAGGAACTAGAACCCATATTTTATCTAAATTCCATGTTAAGTTTTACCTTAGCAATGTTGACAATATGTTTATTATTCTACAGCAAGGTAGAGTCAATGATATCTTTTTAGAGTTTAATAACTTCCATCCTAAACTGAAATTTACCATTGAAAGTGAAATAGATAAGAAAATCAATTTTTTAAATGTTATCCTTACTAGGAATCACTATCACATGAAAACAAATTGATCTAGAAAACCTACATTTGAAGACAAAGTGCTTAATTACTACTACTCACATGGTAAGAAAACCAACATTGAAATTATTTATAATCTAGTAAATTGTGCAGTCAAGTTAGCTGATAAGGAATTGCATCCCTTTAACTTACAAATAGTTCAAGCTATTTTAAGAAACAATTATCCTAATGCTATTAATGATACATTTATCTTTAAGAAAATGAAGACTGAGTCACATTTCAAACCAATGTCAAAAGATGAAAATACTGAGAATAATTGTTTATCATTACCTTTTGTTCCCACAATTAATTTCAAATTATAACAAATTTTTCAAGAGAAGTACTATTGTAGATTAATGAACAAAGCCCATAATAAACAGACTGTGGTCAGGAATGTCCAAGACTATACTTCTTTAAATATATCTAACGCTGTATACAGTATTGAATGCAATCAAATATGTATGCCAAACTAGTCAAAAAGTTCAAACTAGAATGAAAGAACATAACAGGAACATCAGAGAGATTCCTCAAAAACATAACTCTGTATATATTCATTACATAAAGTTCAACCACTCTTTCAATTTGCAAAATTCCAGATCTTTTTGATATTCAGACTCAGAAATATCTACAATTAGTTTCATAAACTTTGCAGATTAAAATAAATAATTCTATTAATACTTATGTTGAGGATAATCATTGTGGATATCACACATAACCTGACGATAAGGTTGGTAGTATCGGGGCCAGTCAAGGCGACATAGGGCAAGGACAGTGGCAAGGAACAGTGAGTTCGCTAAGGGGCGGGGTGGGCCGGGGCTAGCAGTTATCCAAGCCAGACTAGGAAGAGGATACACCTAGCAGAAAGCATTCCTTTTCATGTCTGAATAGATGAAGGGGCGGGGGGGGACGGAATGAAATGATTTGGCTTTAAACTTCACATGCATTTTAATTGCACAGGTTTCACAAGTATTATTAGATCTCAAAAAAAGTGAAAAGTTAATGGAGAATATTAATTTAGATACTCACTAGATACGGTGTTTGCACTCCCACAAAGAATTGGAGAGGATAATTCTTTTTAGCTCTTCTTCACCAAATTTCTCAATAGCAAGATTTAACAAGGATGAATGAGAACTATCACCACTGTCTTTCCGCCTCTTTCTTGTTCTTTTAGTAACCTTTAATAGCTCTGAATTTTCCTCTGTCTCTTCCACATCTTTACTTCTTTCATTAATATCAGATTGTCTCTGCTTTTTCACTAAAGTAGTCAGCTGTGAAATAAAAACACATGAACATTAAAACACTCATGAACATGACATCAATCTTGACAACTTGATCTTTAAACAATATTTTTATTTGCAAAAGTGTACGATTGGGTACAATAAGGCTGATAAAATTACCACCACATATTTCATGCATAATATATCACTCACATGCACATAGTATCTTGAGATAAAGGCGGGATTCTGGATCTTCCATTGGGGGCAGGGGGATTTGGGGGATAAGTTTTTTTTATAAAAAATAATTTATATTCTTTGTTTAAATAATATTAATTTTAATAAAAATGTATGATAAGCTGTATGCAGTATGCTTGTATTAAACAATTCACTTTTGAAGAATATGTATTGCTCACCAGGGGTGGATTTATGAATAGGCAGGAGTGGTACATGCCTACATTGAAAAAATTTAAGGGGAGGCAAAAATGCTGGACTAAAATACCATTTAAAAAGCCTCTTTTTCCTTGCAAAGTAATTTATTAACAGGCTGATAATACTTTCAACTATATGACTTGTGATAAGTCAAAATAAGTAATTATTTTATTACAATTATTGAAAAGGAGTCATGTTACATCGATATAAATTATACATATTATACATTTTAAAAATTATACTTATTTAAATACATGTAATTTTGATCATCTGTTTGAAGATGTCTTATTTCATTCGTATTTTCTAGTGTAAAATGTATGTAATTTTAAGAATTAAAGGTGGAACAATGATAGAATATTAAGTAAGCACAACTATCATGAATATGTCATGAATTTATATTGTTTCTATACATCAAAATATACAATTTAAAAATTAATTGATTTCCTGTAGAAAAAATTGACCACACAAATTATTAATAAATTTATAGTTATATTTTAGTAATAAATACGCATCCAATTTTTGAACATAAATTATACTTCTTATTAAAAAATTCTTTCTGGAATATTTTTAAAAAATCGACAGCAATTTTCAGGTGCCTTCAGGTGCCTACAGGCATCAAAGTTGTTAATCCACTTTTGTTGCTCAAAATATGTATTTGATGCGTAACTTATAAATACAATTTATGTAGAATGTATATAAATATAATATTATACTGTAGCTGCTTGGATTTGTTGTATATGTTGAAATTTGAGTACCAAGTATCATATGTGAGTACCATGTATCATATATGAGTACCATGTATCATATGTGTGTAACAAATGGAAAATACTAGGGATAAATTTTATATATCCTAAAAAACCTCAAATATGCACTTTCATGTGCATTTAAAATTAACAATATCTCATTTCCTGCATTAACTTTCTTGTTAAAACTCAGAAGAAGCGTGCTTGGAATGAAAAGAGATTTTTATGCAAACAACATAATCTATCTTAATTCGCAGAAGAGATAATTAAAGTCTCCTTAGTGAAGTACATTGCACGTCTAGTTGCATTTCTTTTCCGCCTGGTTAAAAAAAAAAATTTATCAAGAAATTTACTACATTTGCACAAGTATTTTATCATTTATAGGAAGGAAGGAAGGAAGGAATAAGGAAGGAAGGAAGGAAGGAAGGAAGGAAGGAAGGAAGGAAGGAAGGAAGAAAGAAAGAAAGAAGGAAGAAAGAAGGAAGGAAGAAGGAAGGAAGAAAGAAGGAAAGAAACAAGGAAGGAAAGAAGGAAGGAAGGAAAGAAGGAAGGAAGAAAGAAGGAAAGAAACAAGGAAGGAAAGAAGGAAGGAAGGAAGGAAAGAAAGAAGGAAGGAATGAAAGAAGGAAAGAAAGAAGGAAGGAAAGAAGGAAGGAAGGAAAGAAAGAAAGAAGGAAGGAATGAAAGAAGGAAAGAAAGAAGGAAAGAAAGAAAGAAGGAAGGAAAGAAGGAAGGAAGAAGGAAGGAAAGAAGGAAGGAAGGAAGGAAAGAAAGAAGGAAGGATCCACAACCACAATTGTGGAGGGAATCTAGAAACCATATTACAGATTGCTACTTTTGTTTAACAAGTAAATGAAAGTACAGCACACAGTTTCTTATCCCAATTTGGAATCTGCTATGTGCCCAATTCCAGTCTGATTCTCTTCCAATTCCAAAACCAACAACGGAATGGTAAAAGAAAGATGCAACAAATTATGGTAGTGATAGACCATGAATGTCACGAATACCGTCCATCTCCAGCATGGCTACAACCACAGTCATTGTCGCAGGCACAATTGTATGATCTTGTAAGAGATCTTTTAAGAGGCAAGCAGAATTTCTTGCGTCTCATCATCAAGAAAAACCTGTTTCAACCAAACACTAACATTACATTACATTCTCAAAATGACCACTTAATCATGCCTCTTACAAAATTGCTGTTTACAAAATTTGGGATGATTTACAATCGGGAAGAATGGCACCTATTTATAGATTGCTCAAAGACTAGTTTCAAAGCCATTCTCTTACATAAAGGAAACAACAAACCTTGGATACCAGTGGCCTTTTCTGTTCAGTTAAAGGAAATCTATGAGACCATGAGGCTACTCCTGAAGTAAACTGGCTTCTCAAATGAAAAATCTTTGGTGTTCCCAAAGTTCTGAGACTACTTCTGGAAATGCAGACTGATCACACAAAATATTGCTGTTTCTTGTGTCACTGGGTAGTTGGGCAAGGAAAGATCATTACATAGTCAAACAGTGGCGTTTGAGAGAAAATTTCAATCCTAATGAAAAAATGTATCGCACAAATCCCTTGTTGACAAAGACAGTGTGCTGTTACCACCACTCCTTCTGAAATTGGGCTTTATGATTAAATTTGTGAAACCAATGGTCAAAAATGGCCAGGATTTTCAATTTTTACTATACAAATTTCCTGCGATTAGTACCGCAAAAATTAAAGAAGCAATTTCATTGGGCCTCAGATCCGAGAAAAGATATTACCTTTGTGCAGTTGCTGATAGATATTCAGAAGGCAGCTTGGCTTGCATTGAAAGATGTATGCAACAATGTCATGGGAAACAATGTCAGAGAATTTCAAGGAACTAACGGAAAACATGCTGGACTGTTACAAGGCTAAAGGTTGCGACATGTCTCAAACTACATTTCATTCATTTCAATTTGGATTTCTTCCCACCGAATCTTGGAAATGTGAGTGACGAACATGGTGAATGATTTCAACAAGGTACATCTGCCAAGGAAAATGATCATAAAAACTTTTGGCTAATTACTGCTGGACGCTTTAACAAGAAGTATCACCATCCACCCACAAACTGAAACTTTCTAGGTAAAGTTTCTAACTTGTAGATACATTTCAAGGTTTATTCAGTTTTCTTGTGCAGTTTTCATTTTATGTTTTGAAATACAAACAATTAATTATATAAATAATTTAATACAATTTTTGTAATACAAATACTTTTGTTACATGTTTTATAAATTAATACATTACCAAATCCACGTGTATTGTTATTGAGTCATATCCCAGTTTCTCGAAAGTGGTATACATGGCATATCTTTTCATTTTCGCAATCTGCTAGTGTGATTTAGTAAAGAACATGTACTTTCATCTCACGGCAAGACACGAAGTTCAAATTTGTTGCACACAATGCAAAATATTTGTTATGATGTTTCAAAAAATAAAAAATAAAAATAAATTAAAAAATCTTCTTGCAGTTTTACTCTAACGGTTACAGAACAATGAAGTTCTATAGGTTTTGAGCACATTTTACAGAAGAGCATTTTGAAAGTTCATAGATGTATAATAATGATATACACAATGCAAAGTCACTTTATTTATAAAAGGTTTTCTAAAATTCTGAATTGAAAACTATTTTCATAGGCTGTAGATCTAACAATATAAGGTTTGAACACTGTCCTAACACCATTTTCACAAAAAATGTCACATAATTTACATCATTCTGAGGCCATGAAATTGCAACAAATTTTTCATAGGGAATAGAATCAGCTGGGGCAGTTCTCATAATCATATCTCCAGCAAAGAAACTATGAGCTAATAGGCTCTTAATCAAGGAAACTCTTCAAAAGATGTTTCAAAATTTCCTAGTTTCACTATACAATACCCGTATTTCCTCCTCCAGAATTATTCGTATTTTTAATAGCAATGAAATTAGCTTTTTGCCTGCACATTTTAAAAACTAGTCAGCTTTTAAAATACAAATGTTAATGATAAGAACTAGGGTAAAAGACTTTTAGCACATGGTACACAAATCTTTTAGCATATGGTCACAATATACCATTGTTAATCTTTTACCCTTTAAAATAACCTTTAGAAAGTAACACATCAGTTTATAAGATTTATGAGTCATAAACTCAAATGAGTATGCTTTCAATGGCTTCCATCCAGCATTCCAGCATAGTGCAAATGCATATTTCTAATTCTTTAAAAGAAATATTATTTTTCTGTGATGGAGATGAAGATGGTGATACAGTAAAATCTGTCTAAAGTGGAATCGATTGGAACACAAAAAAATCTGGTTTAGGAAGGTTTCCATTTTCTGCAAGGTTGTCCATTATATGAATGTGCGATTTTGTTTTTCAGCCCTCAAAATAGTAAATTACTTGACTTTATTACAATTATGAAAATACATTAAGATATAATGTATTTGTGGAAGAAATCACCAATAAATGAATATTAAATACTCTTTGGTGACATCATCTTAGTTGAAAAATACACACGTTATTGGCTGATTTCGGACAGCTTGATTACTCTTTCAGCACACAATGCGTCACAACCCAGTACTATAACTTTCTGAGACACTCGCATGGCATTGAGCAATGCCTATCTGGTCCAAGGGTTATGATTTTCAACATGGGCAAGGAGACATGTGAATAGAAGCCATGCCCATACACCTTCCCATACTCAGAATCGGGAGAGAGGGAAACCCCCTATGGCGTATGTTTTGAGAAACAAGCGACCCCAAGGTTGTCTACACTCACAGCTGACGCCTATATACCTCAATGTTCAGCTGCCATAACTAAATCATGAGTCACAGAGATAAAGAATTTGAAACAAACTTGCAGACACATTCATATTATTATGAACATCTCGTGTCTCACTGGCAACTGCACTAAATTCACAGGAATTCCGTTCTATAAAACGTTTTTGCCCTGCAGGTTATGAAAAGCCCTTCCATGCTGTATAAAATGCCATTTAACTTCACAGGCCAGAGAAATTTTCCAACTAAGGCAGGTTTCCAGCTTATAAGGGTTCCGTTTTAAACAGATTTTACTGTAATACCTAGTCCCATGGCAGTACCAAGTAGCATTTCATACATGAATTTGTATTTAATGGTAGCAACCTCCTAACAATTTCTCAATTTTGAGCAGTAACACTACTCAAACAGGAAGGGCAGAGAGTTGTTTCAGTATCTTATCACAAGGAGAGATTAATTTTCATTTCAGAAAAGAATGAATGTTTTTCATGCATGCCACTTAGTCAGGATATGAATTGCAGTTTCATATCTATTTTACTTCTGAAACAGATGCTGTGAACTAATGATTGAAAAGTAACGGAAGAGTTGTTATTGGACAAACTGTGACAAGACAAAATGTGAAACTGGAAAGCAAGAAAGCAGGTAGCAAGCGAAAATGTTATAGTACAAAATGACAAAATAATATTATTTAAAACAAAGAGGACATTTTAACAGAATTGGAAAACAGTGGTAAGCAAGGAGAAACAGTACAGCATTTGGCTGAAGTTTACATACAGAGATTCTAGGCACCACGCATACTTCAGTTGTAGAAATCTGTTACTAATCTATCAACTTTACATCAAAGTTTTCATGTCACTCTGTCAACCTTACAGCAAATGAGGTACAAAACAATAATGGCAAAGAATTGAATGAAGTGGGTTCAAATCTAGTATAAAATATGAGAGATGAAAAGATTTGTTTAGAAGAGTGGCTGTAATAAAAGCTTATTCTCTTGATAGCCTGCTTACAATATATCTCAATGTTTCATGTAAATCTAAGACCATATGCTTAATTCATCCGCAATGTATTGCAGATGGGCTTGGTAAATCTAGGGATGCCACAATATCCGAATTACTTTGGAAATTATGTGTTGGACAATCAAGGATATTTTATGTTAATTACATAGATTGAAGGCGTAATATGCAAATTGCGTGACATCACTGCACTTTAAAAGTAGTCTTCTTCTTCATGGTAAGTCACTGAATAAGATTAACTTGTAAATACACCTTTCCAATCTTGACTATTAAATGTTCATACTTCCAAAATATTCACTAGTTCTATTATGTTGGGAAATTCAACCCACACTTCACTTTCAAAATCCATGATGTTAGTAATATGATAAGAGAAGTAAAAATTTCAGCGATTTCGAGTAAGTTAACTGCCCAGCATTTTGTCACTGAAAAGGGCACCAATTCATTTACTGCAAATAGTAAAATTAGTCCTAATGTCCTCTTTCAATATCCACATTTTCCTATATTCTAACAGCCATATGGTTTGAGAGACCGTTTTCCCTGCAACCATTAGTGACTGCTTATGACCATTTTCATTATTTTGTGGTACACATTTATCTTGGAAACTAGTAAAACTAACATAAGCAAAATACTACTCGACTTATTGCAAAGTTAAAAAAAACAACATAAGTTCATATGAAAGTTTCAAACTATGATGGCTACTAAGATGCAAAGGAATTTTGAAATATTTAGTAAATTTGAACAATCTTATTCACCATATTTTACATGACAAGAGCGAATGAACAAACGAGAGCATTATTAGGATTCATTCAAATTGTGATGCATATAATGTTCGTTTCACTTTCTGATCGATCCCTCCTAAAATTTTGAATGTCACTCTCTCAAGAAAGTAGCCAATTTGCACCCTGCATTTGGGTACAAGTCATATGCGACCAATGACGTGGTCAACTCTTGATTAAAAAAGGGTCACGAGACACAGTGTCAAAATGAAATTTAAAGGAGGATTGAAATTTGGAAGACCCATAACTTACCATTACCCTGCCAATTAACAAGCATTTACCTTTAAATAAAATTTCAGTATTTTAATGAAAACAAATTAATTCCATAAGAGGTTACTGATTCAGTCCAGCATACAAGCCATGATTAAATATTATGTATTATGGTTTGTTTGATGTAAATGAGCACCAACTATAATTACTTTGTGACCAAGTCCTTGGGGTGCAATGCGGGTTTAGGTTGCCCCACATTCAAAGGGACAAAAGAGTCAGTGTAGTGAGAAATGATTGATTTTTAAAAGTTTTTACTGAAACAATACTCATAATTTGATATGTAATCAAAAGAATACACAAAAATATATCCTGATTATTCAGAGAAACATGTTAAGCCAGTCATCGGCCCTGAACCTCTATTCCTTTCATTTTAGATAGCGAACAGTGAAAAAAAACATTTAAAAGGGATTTGAAACTAAAATCATTATTGCCACAATTTGAATGTACATTAATTAAACTATGCTAATTCTAAAACATATTTTTTGCTAATTATTTACATTGTACATGTTTCCATAACTCGTTCATAATTTCTTACTAAATGGCAAGGAATAAAAGTACTTTTTTTTCAGTGAAAATAAAATCATTGTATTGCATTAATCTTGGATATTTTATACAGTCATGAGTGATCACTGGATTACATCAATGAATTATAAAATGAAATACAAGTTGATATCTCTCAGTGTAATATTCAGAGATGAGAGATAACACTTGACTTTCTGATATACACTGGAACCATTGTTTATTACATAAATTTTACTTTTATACTATACAGTCTGCTTCCTCACTTTATTTAAAAAGTGTTTCAAATACTATGAATATTACTATAGTGAAATTGTAAATGTTCAACTTACTTGACCATCGCATATTCGTTGGCAATACTTTTCATATTCTTCCCTTACACCCTTTCCCGGAGCTCTTGCCAGAGATGGATATCGCACCAAACGAGCAATTTTTTTCTCACGAAGCAGAGTTGCTTCATATGGCAAAAGAACTAAAGGCAAACCATGAAATTGTTCTTGGGAGGAGACATCCGGTAAAGAGCCACATAAATTTCCAAGGATTCTATATTCATTCCTCAGCTTTATCCAGTCTACCAGAAAATAAATTAAACAAGAAATGTTACCCTTGTCAATTTTTAACTTCACTCCATCATTTCAACACCTACCTTCAGAATTCCATACCATTGGTATCCCCTCATCTGTCACAGTCACTTTAATCATTGCTCAAATGCGCGGTATTAAAAATAACATAAAATTACAACACACAATTACAATTCTCAGGTCATCAAGTCATAGTTATCCTACCAAACAATGACAGTCGATTCAAGATAAATGTCCTATAACACGAGGGACGTATAATAATATTCGTTAGACACAAAATCATCGCTTCTTTTAATCAGTTCAAACCGGTTCTTGACACTTGAAAGCACAACCCAAAAGTGTTCTAGGAATGATAATCACATCACACTCTTAGATAATGGGGTTCTCAACACAGCTTATGACTCTTTCCATACAGTCCTTCCAACATCTTTCAATGTCGCGGTATTCCCAGTTGTTTACAACAGTGAACAGAATGGCGTTTCAAGGCAGGGATCATCCGGAGGTGCTCCAGCTGTTGATTGAGCCGGTAGAACGATTGCTTTTCCTACCGATTCGTTGAATCGTTCACAGATTCTGGCGGTATCTGCGCTGTGATTGGTGGAAGGCAGATCTCTAGGCGTCTCTTTCAAAATATCGAGAAAACAGATACATGTAATTAATATTTCATAAATCATACAACTTTTAGTACAATTCGAAAGAAACAAACATAATATGTCTTTATGAATCGTTTAAATCATCAATAATATAACATTTTATGTCAAACTGCCCAATTAATCCGAAGAGCTCTTCCAAGTGGATTGTTATAAGTATCTGGTTTACATGAATTTCCGGATTGTTTATTGTAAAGCTTGTGTACCTGCTTTATACACCGTAAATCACTATTTTCAATGCTTCTTTAATGCACAAGAAATATTTTCAGATATTTTTCAAAACAGCAAAATTAAGCCATTTTTTTAAACAAAGGGAGCACCTAATGAAATATCAAAATTACCGACCAATTTCTCTTTTGTCGGGTTTCTCTAAAATATTTGAGAGGCTTTTCTATACGCGAATGGAAACTTTTCTCAGGAAAAACGACGAGTTTTCAGTCTCACAACACGGGTTTAGAAAATCAAAATCTACGGAAACTACCATTTTTTTTCTTAATGATGTTGCTTCATCAATGGACCAAAATGAAACACCCATTGGAATATTTTTACATATTTCGAAAGCTTTTGACAGTTATTGACCATAACATTCTGCTATCAAAATTACCTTCTAATGGAATTCGTGGTATCGCCCTAGTTTGGATAACCTCGTACCTTAAACATCGATCTCAAAGAGTAGAAATACTGTACTGGCACGAAAGGACATTATTTACTTATTTTTCCAATTCTTTACCAATTAAATATGAGGTTCCGCAAGGCTCGATCTTCGGTCGTATCATCTTTCTGTTATTCATAAACGATATGCCGTCGTCTATTAAAAACGTAAGAACGATTCTGTTTGCCGATGGCACGAATGTTCTTTGTAAAATAGAAACAATAAATAGTACGATTTTAGAAGTTTCAAATTGTTTTTGTAATAACAAATTAATAGTTAATGAACGAAAAGCAGTTCCAATGCATGTTTGCATTTCAAATCAGCATGCTTCATTGAAAATGAATAATATGCAATTAGCTCATGTTCAGGTAACAAAATTTCTAGGTCTCTCAATTCAGTCAAACCTCAAATGAAATGTACATATAGCAAAATTAAATACTATATTAAGTTCATTATGTTAAGCATACAGAATTTTATCAAATTCTGTTAGCCTTCATGCAGCTCGTTGCGTGTATTTTGTAAATGTACATTCCCGCCTGAGATATGGTATAAAATTCTGGGGAAACTCATCGTGTAGTACTCAGACTTTTAGATTCCAAAAGAAAATTATTCGAATAATGAAAAATGCCATCCGCATTACCCTTGCAATCCTCTCTTTATTGAGCTTGGAATCTTACCACTGCCTTATCCATATATTTACGAATCTGTAATATTTGTTAAATGTGACTTACTTAACGGTGGGAACATATTTTCATGCAGTACTGATATTTATAATTACAACACACGTCGTAAAAATCAGGTTCATCAAGTATCAGTATCAACAGCTCACTATCAGAAATCCACATACAATACAAACAAGTACGTTACTTTACAACGCACTGCCAGATGACATTAAACAGTTGAAGTCGGTTCACAAATTTAAGTTAAAAGTAAAATCTTTCCTACTGCATAACTGTTTCTATACAATTAGGGACTATACTGATTATCAAAAAGAAAAATAATGTTTATTTTAACAAAGCATATATATATATATATATATATATATATATATTTTTATTAATTTAAATTTATAGTTATTTTAAATTAAAAAATTTAATAATAAAATTTTTTGGGAAAAAAATTTTTTTTTTTAGTTTTAACATTTGTATTGTATAATTTCTTTTAAAATACTTAAATATAAATTTGTAACAAATAATGTACTTCAGCTTCCGGGTCAATGACCCCTATCTCGATGCAGGTTTGTCCAGTTTCCCTGATCCATGAAAACAATGCTGAGATGGTCTCTTGTTTTGCTTCTTGGAGCGGTAAATGTAGCCTTCACTATGCGCACGTTTTTTGTTGAATTCTCCTTTTGCCTTCTAATGGTAAGAGTAGAGGTAAAGACGAGTTGCTATTTTGTTAGATTGGCAGAAAAACACATACTGCAATTCATGTACCGATGCAAATAAGTTTTTCTTAACTCAGAAAAGAAAAATTACTATTTTTTCCCAAATATTGCTAGTCTTGTGATTTTAAAAATTTATTTTTAAAATTAATTTTAAATATTTATTTTTATTTATTTTGTTAAACTTTTACCTCATATTCACTATTTTATAGATTAAAATTGACGAAAGGGATTCTGGAACTAAAGAAAACGTGCGCAAAAGGTAATCTCCCTACTGTTTTTTGACTGAATAAATCTAATATTTACGCATGGATTGCTCATTTTACATCTTGGAATATTTAAAAATGAGTGAGTCACTTTTAACATAACTGCAGTTTAATTTTGTAGTTTAAGAAGCTTTTCAATGTACAATTAAATAATAGAACCCATGGTAAATTGTAATTCAATATGCAACATTTTAAGGAAGTTGCACGAATGATTCTTCGTAGCTCTCGCCACGGTAAATAAATCATAGAGGAGAGGTACAACTAGAGTGCGCGTGACCTACTGCGCAGGTTTCCACCCATAGGGAGAGATACAACTATATCAACCTCTACAACTATATATCTCTACTCTATGATTTCCAAAACACTGCGGTGGCCGCAAGTCACGTGACTTTGGGACCCGGCAGCTTGTTTTTTGCCTGTTTTGTGTGTAACTTTTGCGTGTGTTTGTTATTTCTGGTGCTACAGCGTAATTATTGGGGGCCTATAACAAGTTTTAGCTAGGATCATCTGGAAATGTTTTTCAGCTGCATACGAGCAAAGGGGCGGATTCAACAATAATCCTACTGTTCAGCAAATTGCCTGGGCTTACAAGCTATTACTGATGCATCACGCAGATTTCCTCTTTCTGCTCGCGAATTGTGTTCACAAGATGAACAACTATATTAAATGTTAGTTCACGTCAGTTAATGCAAGTGTGTCAACAGTGAATGTCCTTAACTGTGCATTGAGGTGCCAATTTGACCATATGCACTTTGCCCATCAGTAAGAACAATCTTCAAACCTAGATTATCTCCCTATGTCGTGGACATTGAAACGATTTTAGAGGATTTGTACTGGAAAATTTCTCTGCTTGTGGTTGACTGTATAGAATAAGTTCTTTGCCGACTGATTGTGAAGAAGGACTCATATTCCTTCCATTCAAAGGAAAGGATGATCATGGGGCAGAAATACCGTCTTCTGTAATGTTCTGCAAAATAACGAAGTGAAGAAGTAAGAATACTTTCAAGGGAAGAGGTGACAGTTTTCCAAGGGGTAGCTTACACTTAAATTGTAAATAAGATGTTTGAGAGAATTTGTAAATAATTTCCGTTTTTTGTAATTTAAGCTTATCATATTATTGGTTAAGAGGGCCATACTGAATCAATAGAATGTATTTGATAAGGCAATATTATTTAAATGTATTGAAATTAGATAACCATATAGTAGAGAAACAGACCGGGAAATTTACAAGAAAAAATAGAATTAGTTCAGTTCATAAATAAATTCATTTTATTAGAGGGCTAATGTGTATGTATTTATTGTGTTCCGTAGTATATATTATGTATTTACAGGTGTTAAGTTAAGTTTGTAGTGGTAGTATATATTAGTGTTTATGGTTTGTATTTTGTTAAGTATTTGATTTTATTAGTAATTCCTTTTGAAAATAATGTATTTCAGCTTCTGCGGTCAAAGGACCCCCATTTCGATCGGTTTTTGTCCAATTTCCCTGATCATTTGAGTGGAAATGTAGCTTCACTATGCGTACGTCCGATTCACTATTCACTTGCTGCATCCTGGACACTATAAAAGGACGAACGCTATCGGAGAA